CCATACCCCTACCATAGAGAGAGTGTTGGGTGACGAGTGATCTCCAGGCATGCGGCTAATGTTACAGAGGCAGCTCATCATCAAACTCGTCTGCCCCCATTTGGAGAATTGAAGTCGCCGATGTTGAGAAAACCATTCGAACCTTGAAAGTATAGCGCTGAAATGCACTCGGCCACAACCGCACGTGCGTACAGGGTGTCGTCAAGCTCGACTCGAAGCTCGAGTCATTTGGACTAACAGCTACAACTGGGCCGACATATCGATAAGTGCCTTGAGCTTCGCAAGCGAATGGGACACCTCATGCACAGTTTAATTACAGCAGCTCACAATATGCTCTTTGATAGTTCCGCGCAATCCCTTTACACAAGTCCTTGATCTTCAGCGCTGCAATGGCTTCGCAGCACGATGATTGTCCAAGGATCTTGAGCTCCGTGAGCGGCAGCATGTACTGTTTCTGCGTTTCTTTTTTGACCGGAAGCAATGGTTTCAAGATAGTAATTGCAGATTCGGATCAATCGATGTCAGACCTGATTGACTTCATGCAACACCGTTTCTTAGGGGCCGCGCGTCGCGCGACGACAACTGGCGGCAGGATCCTGAGTTCCGTGACTGGCAGTATGTACTGTTTCCGTGTGTCTTGTTTGCCCAAAGTACTGGTTTCACGGTGCCTCTGAACTGATTGTCTGAACCGGATGAGTCGCACTTGCAAGATGTCACAGATGTGGTCGTGACAGCGTTTGTTCGGGGCTGCGTGCTGAGGTCCGCAAGGAACCGACTTTTTCGGCCGGGAAACTCGGCAAGTGCCATGCGGCCCCTCTAATATGATAATAGTTGTTCCTGATTGAAAACTGATTACCATTATTTCTTTTTTCATGGGTGCTTGACTATCACTACTACTACAGTCTCTATCTGTTCTGAATTTGTCTCTCGCTGCATCTGCATCTCTCTTTCCTGAGGCCTCCCCCTGGCCTGGAAACACAGAGACGCCACGATGCCCCTTTTGAGGCGGGCGTTGCCACAATAGACTGGTATGGTTAGTCGTATCAGGCGGCGGATGATGCAAGGCGTTTGGTGAATCGCCAAATGCATCACCCAGTTCGAGCACAAGCAGCCAGTTCTGAATCCCAGCCTTCGAGTCTCTCAAGCCTTGTGCGAAAGTGTGTGCACTCTCTGCGCAAACAGGACCCCAAACAGCAGTTCGAATTTGCGCAGCTTAAATAAAACTGGAACACATGTTCGATTCTTCGAGCCGAAAGGAGCATGAGGAACCGGGCGCTAAGACAGGTTACGCTTCCACGGTGTTTTCTCCGGGTTTCATGCGCGCTTCTTCGGCGACTCGGGACTTATTGCTCCCACATCAAGCTCCAAAACCCTCAAACTCGCCTTCCAAGCCTTGCAAGACCCCAGCCACGGGATCGAAGCTTAAATCAACAGCTCCGGAAGGTGCCCGGGGATCAGAGCCACAGCTTCTCAGCCCCGGCTCCTGGTGTCCCGCTCCCTGGCTCTGTCTGGGCTCTTGTGAGTTTGTTTGTTTGGGAAGAGGAAAGGGCGTGTTGCTGCGGGGGTTGGACCAGGAAATCGAGGCTTGAGGTGGAAAGTGTTTAGAGTCTTTGGGCTTCGAGATGTTGGGAATGGTTGGGACGCAGGCTTGCAGGGTAAAAGTTTCACAATTTAGGTTTTAGGTTAGGTCAATCCGCCCTGTACCTCGTAGTCGGAAGCTTCGATGCACTCCAAACAGTTCCAAACACCTACGCGAGCACATGGTAATTGTGTCTACGCGGATTTGCTTGAGCTTTCGGGCTCTATAAATAAAGTCTATTTCTGTTTCAGGACTTCGGGGTTTGGAGGCTAACGCTTCTGGCGTCGAGGTTGAAAGTCCGGCCTTTGAGAGGTTTGGGTTTGGGAGTTGAGTAGCTTATAGCTGTTCGGTTTTGAGGGCTTCTTGGCATGCTGTCTTGAAGGACCCACACAAGCATTATAGCACCAGCGTGTAGGATTCCAGCTTCATTATACCGACGGTAGCTTTGACTCATCCAAAGAGGAGCACTAAGCGGGCTTGATGGCTGGGGGGTTGGAAACTTGGAAGGCTGAAAGGCGGTAGGCCCACGCTTTGCCAAAAACGGGTTGCTGCGAAGGTATGTTAGGATCAAAATATATAGAGTATATAATATCGCTCATAGACAGATAGAAGATATATGGACCTTTATATAAGGGAATGTGAGGATAAGCCCTTAAACATCGAGAACGTCCCGTTTCGAAGAGATGCCCCTGCCAGGATCCGGGATGTCTTTCAGGCTGATGCGAGCAGCGGTGGGCCGGCCCAGAGTCTTTGCACCGAGTTGTTCCTGAAGGTGTATGTAGAGGTTGAAGATAGTCAGCAATGCTATCCACTTGTTATAGTTCTACGCCACAAAGCCTTAACCGAATCATTCGGGCTTCTAGATCAGGATTGGATAACGAGAGTCTCCCGAGCAGGCGATGTCAGGAAAGGCTAAGGCCAGAGAGACTGCACCACAAAAAGAGCGCACATTGACTATCTATTCCATGTTCTGTCCGCTTCATGGAGGCTATGCACAGCATGCAGAAAGCGAAGCTTTGCCTCTGCTGAATCCTACGCAGAGAGCAAGAAAAGAGAACCTTGATTATATAGAGTGCATGCAATGCAGTAAAGGCTTCCCAAAGCACCCCGAGATTGGCTCCTGTGGGGATTGGAACTTGAGTCGCAAGCTTATGAATGTCCATCGGACACAGTTTTGGACCGCTGAAAGGAATAATAAAAGTTGCTTCGACGGGCGGATTCGTCTTTCTTGTCGACAGTGTGTAGGATGGTCTGTTCATCTGAGTTGTGCAGTTTCCCCTGAGGCCCTCAGGTTGATTTTTGCCTTTAAGCCTTGCCTTGTGTGTTCTCGGGTCCGCTTTTCGGGCCGTTGCTTTTTCGATAATCTCCGACTTGTTATACGAAGGAGGAAAGTCTTGACTCCAGGAGGCTCTTCAAATGTCAGGCGAGTCTCATACCTGCGGATCCAACCATCTACGGCTGTCGAGGCTGTGACAGCACGGTCCAGAAGTACTATTTTGTAGGGTTTGGAGCTGCAGCTGTTCTAAGCAGCGTAGTGACGTTTCTCACCAAAACCCCCTCACGACTGCAGTTTCCCGACAGTCTCCCCAACCACAACCTTAAACCTTGAAGCCTGAAAACTCTGAGCATGCACCTTGAAGCCGAAGCTTTAAGCCTTGAGCCAGCGTGCTTTGAAGTAAATTCGGAGAGGTCCATCACCCAATGAGATGGTGAGGCCGACGGGTCTGGACTTTAGGGGCTAAGAGGGGTTTGAGGTTCAGCGCTTGAGGTCTTTGCCAGTACAGCATTTGCATGGGCCTCGGGTCGGAGCTTTGGTGCTTAGGGTGTAGATCTTCGAGTTTTAGGGTTTTATGTTTATAGGGGTGCTTTGTCAGGGGTCCCATACCGCAGCCAAGCCATGCGAAGCACAGGCTGGGGCCCCAACGACCCGATATGGCAACAGCACATTTAATTATACCATAACTACAATATGGAGCCCCAAGAAGAGTCTTGGTGATGAAATCGGCCCCTATAGCTATACCAGGATTGCGAGCGATCCTTTTTCTAGTTTCTTCTCAGCCCAAACCCGGCCTAAGCCCTTTTAGAAGTGCAAACTGCTGAGGGATGGACTTAGCATGTCAGGCTGAAGATTTTTCTGATCCTATACGATTTAGGCTTTAGCACTTTGTAGCTTAGGAGGCTGCAGGTTCTTGGGTTTAGGCGGCTTTTGGAGAGAATAACAGCGAGAAAATAAGAGCAGAGAGCGCCATCATAAATGAGGGTCCCAGGCAACATCACCCCAAGTAGGATGCTATCTCTTACATAGAAAAAAACCGGCTCCTGATCCTTCCAAGTGTCGACGGCAGCGGCCCGCAACCCTTCAGTCGAACATCCTGAAGTCTGGCATAGAGGTCTGAATATGTCGCAGTCGTCTTATTTTTTGAGTCTCCACACCCTGCTCCAATTGCTAGGCTCTTGAAATTCGCTCTTCGCTGTGGCTTAGACAGGAACCTCACTTCCATTGCCGCCCCCCAAAAGCTACACGTAGCAAAAAACCCGAAAGCAAGCATGAACACGATAAACCCTAAACTGTGAACCCTAAACCTGTTCAGGGAGAAATCATCGACGGCCGCTCCCTCGGAAAACAGAGTTTCTCGCCATTTCGGTTTCTAGTAACATGATCTATGTGACACTTCGGGAAAGCTGTTTACCTTCCGATCCCCTCTGGCACTACTGAAGTACCTTGTCGTGACGCTTTTGGCTGGTTTTCAAACACGTGCAGCTGGTGTTTATGAGAACCATCGATGTCAGCGGGTCCCTCAGAGTGTAGTCGGCTTTGGATTACTTACAAAGATCCGATCTCGCATCAAGTGTAATGCAAATGCAAAACATAGCACACGGGGCAGACCAGGGGGTGAGATATGTTTGTGTTTAAGCTTTTTCAGAATCCATACTCCAACTCTTCAGAAACCGCTGGCCGAAATAGCGGTCTATCTCTGATACTCGGCTTTGGGACTTACTCGCAACTCATCTCAAAGTCCAACTTCTGATTTTGCGCAATTTGCAGGTTCCTAATGCCCAAATACACGAATTTGGATTGCAGAGCTCGACACAGGAGAAAGAAGAGAGGACCGAGAAGGCTCAGGAAGAGGGCCGCGTCAAGGCGACTAGAGCCAGCTCAAGCCTGTTTCCTGTGGTTTGAGGGGGCCCAGGTTCGAGGGTGCTCTCTATTTCTCTCTGCCTCTCTCTCTATCTCTCTCTTGGGCAGTTTGGGAGCATCTGACTAAGCGAGGTTGTAAAGATTTTCAGGGATTTGCGGTCGTTTCTTTTGAGATTCTTGCGGTGGCTGAGTCGATCCACACAATCCTCTTGTAGCTGCCTCCTTAAGCTCAGCACCATTACCCGTCTTTGTGGGTATTGTCCCTGTCAGTTCTATACTATGACCCTAAACACTAGACCGCACATGCACCCTAAAAACCCTCTAATCTCTAGCGCCGTAAGACCCCATACAGCCCCCACAAAACCTTGTTACACCTGCAGAGCCCTCTACAGTCCTATAAGACCTGGTAGATTGCTATACAGCCAATGCCAACCCCCATACCATCGCCCTTTTTTGACATAGACTTCCTGAAACCCTCCACCGTAATCCCAATTAAAGCCGAAGGCGCAGCAGGAGAAGGACCTCCGAGAAGCGGAGGTGCTGGCCGAGAGGATGCGGAAGCGGCTCAGCTCCACACCCTGGGCGCTCAGTGTCCTATACACTGGGTTATACTGCGCTCTGTAAGCCCTACATGAACCCTTGAATCCTTTGCCGCAAGAGCACTTATTTGTAACTAGGCTAGGCTACTCGACTATGGGCTTTGTCACGTTTTGCAACGTACGACTCTGCTATCCCACTTCCTCCTCTTTGGGACGAGGGCTTCACTGCCATCTTCTGAGGACGCTGCAGAATGACGACGTGAAGTTCTGCTTCGACTTCTGGGTTTCCGACTATCGCGCAGAGTGCCCCGACGATCGATTAGGATAGGGTTCAGGCTCTAGGGCGGTTTAGGGTTGTGGTTAAGAAGTCATCAGCACTTCGTCATGCTTGAGGATAGATAGGAAGGCTCTCTCCGATCTCGTTATGTTCAGGGTCACCCCTCACCCACCTGGGCCCCGAGCCAATCTGAAAGCTATCAAAGTGTTGTGTTAAATTGTAAACCTTGAAGTTTCTTGCAACAGCTCAGCCGAGGGGGCAAAGGAGGCGCGACGAGGAGGCCAAGAAGAAGCACGAGGCAGGTGAACCTCTGCTCCGGCAGTATTGAGAGTTCAGACCCCTCATACAGGGGCCTACTACCTATCAGTTATAGGGACCAGCATCGAGCTTTACAAAACAGCCAGTCTGAATCCACAATATTTTTTTGCTTGGCATTGTAGTTATTGGTGTCCCGCTTGTTGTTTGTCGCTTGCGAAAATTGTCAGAGCGGTTGTGATGGTTATGGAAGATTCATTAGGGATTACAATGGTAGAAGTGCTAAATCGCATGCAGGGCACAGTCGCATCGCAGGGATGCGCTCTCCTCGTCATCATGCTGGCCGTGCTGGAGATAATGGTGATGATGATGATGACGATGATGGTGGTACTGGTGGTGATGATGATTATGGTGATGGTGATGCTGCTGCTGATGATGCTGATGATCTGTCATTGCCATCATCACAGGCATCCCCATTACCATCATCGGCCTCATCTACTATTTTGCCCACGGCCTACACCCAAAGGCCCAAACTTTTTCACCCCAAACCCTACAAACCCCAAACCCTTCCCCCCCCCCAAACCCGTCGGATAAAGCCCCGGAAGAAGACCAGGCCGAGCTCGCGGCCTTGAAGCGCATGGAGCAGGCGCAGCCCGAACGTGGTCTCAAAGGGGAGGGGGGGGTCTCGAGAGTTGGGATCTCGGGTTTAGGTGGTTTTAGGGTCGATTTGCGGGGCTTTAGGGATCTGGGGTCTCAGTTTCAGTATTCTGGGTGTCGGGTCTTCTAGTGATCACGGGCTTAGCGATTGCGAGAAGTTCCTGACTAAGAGTGCTGATTTCACAAGCTTTTGGAGAGAGTTGGCTTGTTCTTGAGAATGGCTCCTAGTCATGTGTTCAACGGCGCATCGGTCGGTTTGCAGCAGAGATCTAGCCAGTCTGAAGGTTGTGCCAGGATTGCAGATCCGCCAAATGCAAAGAAATGAAGACAGCATCATCTCCAAACCATGCTAACTGCAGCCAAGACAGCAAGAAACTCCGCACGGTTCTGTTCCAAGCTTTATAGGTTTGTAATTACCTGAGGCCTGCACCTTGAAGAATAAACCGCGGGGTTTCGAACGGGATATGCACCTCGCGAAGTCCGATCCCAGCCGAAGGAAACCGTGGAGCGAGCTGCCCTGCAGATTGCACAGAAGAGACTTGGACGCTTACGGTGTTCTAAGTAACTAAGTCGTTGTATCTACGGAAATCCAAGGTAAGGCACGCATGGTGCGGCCTGTGATGTGCCAATCCTGTAAGTAGGATTTAGGGATTTAGCGTCCCGGGAGCCGGATACGCTACAAGAAGCTAGAGATAGATGGAAGTAGTTAAACGTGCTGAGCTAGGACTTGGGCCAGCCCGAGGACTTGCTTCGTCATTCTCCGAACACTAAACCCCAAGCGCTGAACCCCAAACCCTAAAATCCTATGAAAGTCTACGCGCACCCGGAGAAACCGCAGGTCGGATCCATCGGTTTTACACGCCAGAAGTCATGTTCGACTCTGGTGTCTTGGAGAGTCAGCATACTGTTGGAAACTGAGCAGAACCGCTGCCCATCCAACCGTCTCCCCCATTCGAAATCCAGCCAACAAACAGGATCCGTCTCAAGACTATTCAGAATTTCTATGTCCTACTCAAATCCAGCGAATGTTTAGTCAGGTTGATGCTGTCTTGCGTTTTTGCGACGATTCCAAAGAGAAGCCTGCACACTCTCATGCACGAAGCCGCTGCCTCCGCTGAGGATGTACAAAAAGATCGTGGATGACAACATGCTTCTTGATCCCAACAGTTCGGTCGGAGTTGAGTACGGGCTTTCTTTATACAAACATGTCATTATGATATGAGTGATGTGCCCCGATGTAAGTTGTGAGCCACCGTAAGTGCCAGTATTTCAGCATTGCCAGTGACAAGCACTGTCGAGTGGCTTGGCCAGAAATAGTCTTAAGGTATCATCTGCATTGGTGGTTGCAAAGGTGTAGACAAAAACTTCGATCTCTGAAGTTGCAGATGCTCAGGAAGTGGTGCCTGGACAACTGGCACCGCATCATCAAAAAGGAGACGAAGCAGTTGCACTTTCGGTCTGCTTCCGTTCCTACGGTATCTACAAAATGGGATCTAAGAGCTGCAAGAGTACGCTGACATCTACGCTCTGCGCTGCACTTTACCGGACAGTTGTGGCTAGTTTCCAAGTCAAGTACGTACATAATTGAAACTTGGTTGTGGGAATTCACGCAAATGGCAGAGCTGGGGTAACCCTAGGAGCCCACACACTTATGTATTGGGTTCAAGACAAACCTCCCGGACCCATGACCCAGTAAGCTACGAAGCAGGTAGCCCAGATCCTTGCATAAGCAGACTGTAGAGAGTGTACGGCTCAGTTGACAAAGCCAGGAGAAGGCGCAGAAGAAAGAGGAGCAAGCCAAGCGTCAACACCAGGACCGCGGGCTTCAGCGGTTTAGGGTTTGTGGGTTTATAGGATTCAGCAACCTTATTCGTGCTAACTCGAAGAGCCCAAGACTCTTACCGTCCCACAGCGTCCGGAAGAGTTCTAAAAAGAAAGCAAACCACGACATCCAAAAGCTCGAATCCTTCACCTCCGAAGACCCCACCAAAGCCCTGCCCCCAATGGCCATTCATAGCTCTATCTCTTGGAAGCATGAAGCATGAGGCCCTGGAGTATCAAGTAAACGTCCTGAACCCCTGTCCCAACAGATCGAATTGATGGTTTGACTCGGGCTTTTTCTAGACACTTTGCTGAGGCTTTTGGCGCTTGTCTGGGCTCGGAGGGTTTGGGGTTTTCGGAGTTGTCACTGCGGGCTCTGGAGTACCACAACCCTAAACCCCCAACGCCATGAGCCCTTTCTTTTTGCGTTTTTGTGTGCGAAAGGCGTCTGCGAGCAACCCCTCGAAGTTGCAGGATGCGCCACTTTTTTGGCGGAGAGGTTTGGGTTTAGGGAATTAGGTTTGGTGTAGCCGGTTTAGGGCCGAGGGTTCAGAGGCTCAAATTGCCTGTCAACCTACGGGCTAGACTAGGAGGTCAGATGCTGCAAGGTTTGGGGCTACATAACTGAAACCCTCAACCCTGATCCCATGCATCCGAATAAAGCACCTCATCCTGAACCCTGAATGCTGTCTCCTGCGCTTCGTTTGCAGGGTGCTCGCAGCTCAAGCAAAGAAGACCCGCAACCCTCAAACCTAAACCCCGTCCTAAAGCTTAAACCCTAAACTCTGAAGCTCAAGCCGTAACGACTGGACCCGACCTCCTGATCTCCAAACCTTAAACCATGAGCGACAAAGCCTGAGGGTTCGTGGCTAAAGCCCTAACGCCACCGAGGGTTTGAATGTACTCTGTCCAAGCGTCCCAAACAGTAAGCATAATAAGTGAGATCTACGGCCAAGCACTACAAACAGTCTTTGCAGGCTACCTTGTATCATTCTGCACATTCCTTGCATAAATTCTAAAGCCGCAAAATGCACCCATAAGCCCAGAACCCTAAACCGTCCTACACCCCAACATTTGCGCCCCCCCCTCTGCTCCAGAATGACAAAACACGATCAGAGCCGAGGCTCCTTGACCAGGGCTCTCCTGAAGCGAGCGAGTTGAGCCTACCGAGCGTGAACGGGCGCAGCAGCGGTGAGGCAGCGGGTTTTTAAAGGGGGTCCTTTATAGGGTTGTGCGGATTTTGCGGGGTGTCTTTTGGATTATGGGGTGTTCTATCAATGGTTTTTGATTGGAGGGAATTAGGCTTTAGTTCCTTTTCGGACTCTAGGTATCTGATAGACCCCCAAACATCAACTCCATGATGTTGTTCCGTTGGAGTGTATGGTAGTTTTCCCAGTGTCGTTGTGTGCGCGTGAGTTGGGCATCGATTGTGTTTCTTTGGGTTCTTTGGGCCCTTGGGTGATGAACCCAGTTCCTGTGGTTGATATTTGTCTTCCTGTTCTTGTCTTGTGCATCTGGAACTTATGTCATCATCATCACCGTCATCACTACCATCACCACAACCATCACCATCATCATCATCATCACCATCATCACCTCCATCGCCACCATCATTATCATCTTCATCATCATCACCATCATCATCATCATCATCATCACCCTACTCATCAAAATATCCGTCTTCATCTTTGAACGCCATCGATCTCATCGCACCTTGCAGACGCACCTGTTGGGTAGACCACATGCCCACCATAATTTCGGTGCAAGTCTTGTTTGTCATGGGCCGCATGCGGAGAGGTTCTCTACGCTATGAGTCCTTTGTCAAGGTTTGTAGGGTCCAAATGATAAATAATGTTATTCATATCACCGGGGACTCACAAAGGGATCTTGTTTCGGAGAGCGAAAACTAGCTGCAGCCTTCAACGAGGCATTTGTGTTGCTGTGTTGCGAACGACTAAACTCTAAGCCGCAAGTAAGCCGTGATTCGCCAGACCTTTAGCCACAAACACTCTTCACCCCAAGGCCTGTCCATCCCACATAGAAGGATTGATCGAACAAAAAGCACAGAAAGGAAAGGATTTGTAGTTTCCAGGAGCTCCAAGCCCTGCAAAGCTGTATATAAAACGCTTTGATGATACGACCCCAAACCCTATCAACAGGTTCCAGCACAAGAACCCCTCGCCCTGGTGCCAGTCGAAGAAAACGATTGGTTGTTCAGAAGAGGTCGAGGCGGGCAAGAGCTTGAGGTTTTGTTCCGGGTCATTTTGCGGTGGCTGCTTCGGTTGCTTTGCGGCTTTCGAAGATTGACTTAAACTTTGTCGCTTGGATTATGTTTTTCGGGTCGGTGGCACATATGCCTCAGTAATTGTTTTTGTTTGGCTTCGCTGTTCAGGGTTTCTGCAGCCTACAAGGGCTGAAGCTTTGGATTAGCTTGGAGTCCGCTTCAAGCTTTGGGTTCTGTGGCTTTGGAGTGCGGCAGATTCTTCAAAGTTCGAAGATTGGGGAGAAGGTTATGCCCGTGCGGTATTTAGGGGCTTACCGTAGAGAGATAGCGCGAATATGGCGCACTGTGACCCTTTCAGGAACGCTCGAAGTTGACACGAGTGAAGGTGCACTGTAGTCTCGACAGCAGCTGCAAGAATCTCCTAGTTCTACGAGTGGGCATATCCAAAGAAGGTTTGTCGCAACAGGTACGACAGACTGATGGCCCACATCATCCTAGGCCTATCTGTTTGGGTATCGTGCCAGGATTTCCTCAATATATTTCCGAAAAAGAGTGGTCTTGTCGGTCTACAGGCAGGCCTAGTGCGCCAGCATTCAACCCGAAAACCCCAAACCAGAAACCCGCGCATCCTAAGCATAGCTAACACGCCTTAACCCTATGCCCTTCAACTAGACCCGAAAACTGCACATGAAACCAACAATTCCCGACCCTGGCGCCAAACGCCGAAGAGCTCTGAGGTGCAAAGCCCCGAGCAGCACTGCAGCCCAGCAACCGCCAGCATGGACTTCCAGGAAACGGAGAAGTGGCAGGCATCCTTGGAGTAGACTTTCTTTCTGGTTTGTTTCTTCCTAATGGGATTCTATAAGGGGTCTATATGAGAAGCCTGAAAGAGAATTTAGACCCAAAGCCACCCAACTCACCGAAGCAAAAGCCAACCTAAGAGCCAACATACGAAGCCTTGAACCTCGAAATGCTTTGATCCGAAAACCGCAAGCCGCGCAAGCCAACTCTTAGAGAGACCTCGCCCGATTTCAGCGAAGGCTACCTAACATCTCTGACTGGAAACTCCCTCAAGCGGCTTGCAAATCATACGGTCATCTCTCTGTTGGCCTTAAAACTACGATAAGCAAACTCTCAGACGTTGTACATCCCACGCATATGCGGAGGTCGGGAAAACCTCATCCTCATCTGCGGGCTGCAACCAGGCGCCGACAACCAGGATTTATATTCAGCGCCGGTTTCCATCAAATGAAGGGTCCGTTTCCGGGTCTGAACTTGAAGTCATTCGGTCCTGGGAAGATATGTTTTCTGGAGCCCTAGAGGAGGGGATGGCGGCGGTGGTAGCAGTTGCAGCGGTCCCAGCCGTAGCAGCGTGATTCATCAGGAGTGTTCTATTTCCAAAACGATGTGGTAGCACTACGATATGTAACGGGGTTGTTGCGCTGGTAAAAGTTGACATCTTGACCCCGCTTTCCCAATCCTGAAATGCGCCCGACGAGTTTCCGAAGCTCCCGCGAGTGAGCTCGCTTGGCTTTGCTCAACTGACGGATACCACTAGGACTTTGGGTTTAGAGTTTAGGGTTGAGGGTGGGTTGCGCGAGGACTTGTAGTGTCGCTTTGCTGACATTGGGTTTGAGGGTAGTTTGCGTATATAGCTTCATTGCAAAAAATCGCTGTGGCTCTGAGGGCTAGTTGGCCCCCACGTTTCTCTTGATGTTCAGTGCTGTCTTCTTAGTTCAGACGTTGGGGTTTGGGCCTTGGCCTGATATTCATAAACGAAAATGCATCCAAGTTTGACTCTTCCAAGCCCGTTGCAGTGCCATGCCGTAAAGGGGAGTACTCTGATGTAGGATTCTGCTCACTTCCTCGCCGGGAATCGGTACAACCACCTTGCACCCAAGACGTAGATGCACGCTAGTCATTGAAACCCAGAAACCTCAGGTTGCCCTTAGGCTCCAGTGTAGTTCCTCTTTGGGGTTACCTGAAAAGATCCTAAATATGAATAACCACAAAAAGGAACTACATTGGAGCCTATGGCTGAGTATCATTTTGCGTGTTCTCTCCTGAAGGAGGTGCGGAAGCTTCGAGAGGACTTCCGCCTGCACTGTATGTGTTTCTGAGCTACACACATCCAACCCTGAATCCGCAAAGACCCTACACCGACAGAAATCCTCAAGCCTTGACCCGAAAACAAGAGCGAAACTACGCCCAATGCAACCCTGCAGCAACGCTTCTTAGTTAGCCGTGAGCAATTCCTTTCTCTAAGCTCTGAGGCCATCAACATCGAACCAACCATATACCAGAGATGGTATGTATCATGCAGCATCATACAACTCGGAGTTCTGATGGAGGGCAGCTATGAGACGCATGTTGAACACTGACGCGCTTCATTCGTGATTTGTCGTATTGGCACCTACCTCACAATTCTGAAGCTGCAAAAGGAGCTGCATGAAAGCTGTAGTGTGTGTGTGTGTATACTCCATGCGCAGCCAACACGATTGAAGCATGTGCGAATTCAACCACACGGCATAAGCAACAACTCCAAGCCATGATTCCACGTCACGTTGGGCGTCAGAATGGTGTACAGATACGTGACATGCACGTCAAGCATAATACCAGAACTTTGTAATGGGCCATAAAGACGGTGGTGTTGTTGATGATGTTGATGATGATGGCGATGGTGATCATGTTTAAGGTGTCTTGTTCGTCCTTATTCTTACTATTACTATTATTATGACTAGAAATATGTGTTCGATAATCTGAGGGTGATGATAATCGCGATGATGATCATGACGGTCACAGGCCACGTGTCCGTTGGGTTGTCATCGAAGTGGCCTTAGACTTGAACTAAAATCACGAAAAATCGTCATTTCTGGACCCTATAGGCCCTATTTGTAAACCCATGGAAGTCGATTTTTTGCAGGAGCAGGCAACCAGGCAGACGGAGCAGAGCAGCTCGCGCCAGGAGGGAGCTGAGAATTTCGAGGAGCGGTGGCACGGCACCAAATTTCGATGTCGCCATTTAGGGCTTTCGGTTTAGGGTTTAGGGATTCCTGGCACTATGCATGCTCTTAAGGAAGAAGGGTTCCCGGTGCACTTCGTTCTCGTCTGTGAGCCGTGACGGCCATCAAGACGTATCCTTGGAGCTTTGGCAGGATGTCCGCAAGCTCCAAGAGGACCAGCCGGGTGGGAGCTGTTGCTTGCAAGTCAGGGATCCCACCGCATCTTGCAACTGGCGGACACTGTGTGGCAACTTCGTAATTAGATTCAAGACCACGTCCATACAGCTGCTTGCGGAATTTCCAGACTTCGCCCAGAAATGCCTTTTTCCGTCCAGGGAATCGACATGCTTCCGTCGGCCTGGAGCCACAAAACACTCTTGCAGATCCTTTTGAAAGCAAGTCAGGAAAGCCCACAACCGTCAACGTCCGAAGCCCTATCCCTAAACCCTAAACCCAGAATCCTCGAAATCCTAGGCCGCCAAGAGCTCCCAGAGCGCAGGAGCTGAAGTCTGCTCGAGCCGAACTTGCTCAGCTCAAGTCCCAGGCACCCCCGCAGCCGGAAAAACTCGAGGAGCCACGGCCTAGATTTTTTCTCAGTTTGTTGCTGTTGCGCTTTTCTTCATTGCATTTGTGTTGGGTGCGCTAGGTCTGTCTGGTGATCGAGTGTTTCTTTATAGGTGTAGGTAGGGCTGTGTTGATTACCTTGGTGCTTGATTGCTTGTGTTTTCACTGCCTGGTCATCGTGATGATGTGTCAAGTTGTGCCTGCCTTTAATTTTGTTTTTCCCGGCGGGGAATTCCGAGCGGGCTTCGGAGTTTATTCTTCGGGTTTGCAAGGCACCACAAGAATCGAGCAACCCGTAAAGTCGCAGGCGTTGTGTGCATGCTTGCACCTGTTTCCTGCTCTTGCTGTCTGGCGCCTGCCTTTGAACAGCCAACACGACTGCAGCCTCTTCTGCATGTGAGTTGCCTGTGGCAGCAATCACTAAAGCCTCTAGTCCCTCAAAGGCTGCCGTAAATAATAGCCCAATATAGAACAACAAGCGCAAAGCAAACCGCGCGGGTCCACCAAGCCCGACGCTTCGGGAAAGAGCTTCCTGAACTCAGGGTGACCCTTACGAGAAGACTTCCTTTGCGAAGGCCTCTCCCGTGCCCTCCGGCGGAGCTCCTGCCCCTGGCCCGGGAGCCGCGGCCGAGGCAGAGTTGTGAGATGCCCGTGTCGTCATAGGACAACGACGACAAGCACTGGCTCCACTACCACTACCTTTCCACATTCACCGACGATTGTTCGCACTGTGCCGTTGGCAGCTGCGTCTCAAGGCAAGTGCCTGCTTGCAGGTTCTTCTGTCCGCCGTGTTTGTTCAGATCCAATTAATGCACTGGTCAGGGTGCCGTTCAGGAAGATGAGTATGGCCGCCGCTCAATGCACTGGCACTCTTTCTGTTGCGAAGGTCAAGTTGAGGCACCATTGCTTGCCTGTGTTCAGGCTGCTGTTGGCACTGGCAGCATGCCTGGGATGCGGTCCGCTGGCCTTCAGCTCCAGTTCCAGGCCGAGCACATCCAGCGCTTACCGGAAGGACGTTAGTCTGAAGTTGAGCAAGCCCGTGCCCACGGACCAGCCGGAGTTCAGAGCAAATATGTCCAGCAGCGAGTGCATGCTCACAAGTCTCCTCTCCGACGCACGGCAAGCGACGTCGGTGGTTTGACGTGAAGAAACTGTTCAGAGGCCATACTGGATGTGCTGCTCCTGTATTTGGTGCTGCAATCCAAGCTGCATATCGGTGTGGACATTACAAAGAAGGAGGTGAGTTTTATCAGAGATTCCGCAGCTATCCAAACAGCATTCCTTCACCCGTCACGCTGCACCAGGGAGTCAAAGTATTCGGCAAGCTGCAACTGGGTGATCAGGTAGACATGATTTGGAATGAAATTACGGAGAAGGGCTGGGTTGATGAAATCCGGGCCGCAGGCCGCATTGATGCAGCTGCAGAGATGGGCGACATTGTTTGTGCTGCAGAAGTCCTGGACTACATGGGCCAGCAATCCTTGAATGTCGACATAGACCATTTTTAACTCTGCCATCAATGCTTGCAGAAACGCGAAGCCCCCAAACAAATCAGATGCTATGTTCCTATACGAGCAACTGCTCAAGCAAGGCCTAGAGCCGACAGTCTCGACATTCACCGTACTGATGGGCGCCCATACACATGCACCTCTCAGTGCGCTGTTGAATATCCGCGCAAAGTTCGCTGACGCAGGGCTGCAGCCAACTACATACTTCTCCGACAGTTACATGAATGCGTTGCTTGAGGGAAGGCAAGTCTCAGATGGGAGAAAGGCGCTTGCTGCTGTGCACGAACTAGACGAACCACACAAGTCCAACATGAAAAGTCTAAGGCTGTATTTTGATTGGACTAGCTTTGTTTTAGGGGGTGTAATATCACTATAGCGAGAGTTATTGTGGGATTATGCTGGAATATTATTCGAGATGATTCCGACTTTTATTCTGTTATCACTCCCCTGTTAGCAGCACTATATGTGGCTGTAACTTGGTGCGTTCTAATGCATTGGGGCTGTCGTGCTCCTCGGTGCCACGCGTATTTTCGGTGCGTGACCACGGGCGTCAGGGTGCAGGGTCATCGTTGTGGAGGGACAGTAGGAGTTGCTGTATACTTTTGGCACCGCGTGCTGGGATTATTTGTAGGTTTTATTACTCCAAACCCCCAACCCTATAACCCTCATTACACCCAACACCGCTTTTGCCTTGGGTTTGGTTTTTGGGGCCTGGGTGGCACAGCAGTCGGCCTTGTCTCTGGGCAACAAGTCAGAACTGAACATGGGATGCCCAGGCAAAGGACTGTCCGAGGCAAGCACAAGGCTTTTGTGAGAATCTACATCATCACGGTAGCACTGCGCCCTTATCGTCAGTAGGTAAGAGTATGTGGAACATTTGGACTCTGCGCACGACGACGCCCTTTGTCTCGTTTAGATTCATGTCTGTGTGAAGCACAACGAAATGGCACACAGCATGTAAACACACGGCTGCATCCGATGAGTGACAAACAAGCCTTGCCGTGCTACGGCGCCTGTGCCTTTGAAGGTCCGTGGAACGATCGTGAACCCTAAGAAACCCCAAATCTGAACCGCATTATTATCATGTTGTCTAGCCTGGTTCTGCCAGGCCTGGTCTCTATGCTGCTGCTGCAGGCATTTTGGCAGCATTCAGCAGGTGCCGCATACGGTATTCTTGCTTTCTCATGTACTTGTCGAATTTGCTGTCGGCTCCCTCTTTGCAATTCGGGCGCACTCATCTAGCCAAATGGCCAAATCCCCGTGCAAGGACTGCCAGCCGCTAGGCATCATGGACTCCGTGAGCAAGTTTCGTTTCTCTCCGCGCTTGTTTTGACTGTGCGACTGGGAGTATTAGCAGTTAGCAGTCGCGCGATCGCTAATTATGCAATTAATTTGCGGGAGACATGCTGCATTTGCTGAAGCACGAGCTGTGGCGGTTATTAGCACGGTCAGCATGGCCCCGTAATTTACCCAGAATGATGGCTGATCGCACACAGTGTTTCAGCTGTTGCGCCGTGATCATAGATCACCCGGCGCTTGGGGTGTCAGGGCAACTTCTTTCGGCTTCCAAAGCTTGAAAGATGTGAAGTAGGGTTGGCGATGCACCGCTGGGTCCTGGAAAGTGCGTGGAGCAGGCAGAAACACGCAGAAGTAGCCAGCTGCATGGCCGAGTAGATGGCTCTCTTCAGCTGGTGTCATCCGTCAGTCAGACAAGTAGCATACAGGTCCACAGGTCATGGCACGCACACCGGTATGGGCAACTACCGCACGATATACTGCCAGCTCGTGCCCATTGCATTTGCCAGCCTCCACGGCGCAAGTTTTCACCGTTGCTTTCTGGTTCGCTGCAGGGGCTCATCTGCTTAGGCTGCAGAGCCCAATCTAGAGGCGCAGCCATGCGCCTGCGCCGAAATGCCACTCTGATTGCACGTGAAACTCGAACTTCTTCGGGGTTGGAGGTAGCACTGAGGCAGTAGGCAACTCATGCCCATAGATTCTGAAAATAGAAGCTTTGTGTGCGAGGGCTCACTCGTCAAGGGGTATGTGGGATCCATGTTTGTAGGGGTCATGCTAATCCTGCGACATATCCAGAGTTCGATGTTCATGTCTCTTTTATTGGAACCATCTCTGGTGAAGGAGTGGCAAAGTCACACAAAGCTCAGGATGCTGCGAGTTGCATCGGTCATACCAGTTCCTCTATCACCACACCAACCATCATCAAACATCATCAAAAAAACGAATCCCAACGAGTCGGCCCCCTTCAAGCCTGTGCCGGAACCTCCCTGAATCCTGAAGAATCCTGAAGTTGAGGTAGCACTGTTGCTCCTGGCTTGGTTTCTGCCCGCAGAATGCCGAAAGCTGGGCCTTGCTTCCACGTTTACAAACGGGGATTTGAGTGTTTGAGGGGTTCCGGGAGATTCTCGCTTCGAGCCTCACGGACGTTTAGTTGTGGTTGGTACAGGTTCAGGGGCTCACTGGTCTCACCGTCGGAAATGAATCTTTGGGAAAACGACCTTCGACAGGGGTTCGTTGAGTGTTGTCCCAGCTCGAGGATCGGCCTCGCCGAGCTCTCAGCAAGAGGAGAAGTACCCTAAAATCCGATGACGGGTCACAGGCCTCAGAGTCAGATTGGGCCAGGCACAGACTTATCGCAGCAACTGGCCACAGAAGCTGAGACAGGCCCTCTCCCGCTTCTAGCAGGATCTTAGATTGTTTTTGCAGCTTTGAGGGGTTTTGGGGGTTTGGGCTCGAAGTTTAGTGCTTCGAAGATGCCTTGACTGTAGGATCTGTTGATGACAGTTGCTACGGGTAGGACTTGACCTTTTCTTTCAAGGGACATTGGAGTTTCTGGTGCACACTGATTGGGGCTCAGACGCCGCCCGAACCTCAAAACCGGTCAGGTCGCCCCGCGCACCTGACTTTCAAGCTCAAGGCATTGGGGTTTGAGTTTGTCGCCGCAGGGTTACGAGCTGAAAATGCCTGCCTTTGGGGTGTAGGTTTCAGGGTGTCGGGTTTCCGGTTTAGCTCATTGGGATTTCGTTGACCAAGCTGTGGGTGTTGGGGTTCGCAGCAGCTAAAGAATGCAGAGTTCCGGCATCTCGGTGGCGGCAAGGCAAGGATTCAGGGAACAAGGGTTTCGAGTAAAGGTTCTGCGGCTGTAAGCGCGATGCAGGATTCAGCGATGGGTCCAGGTAACGCATCGTTTTCTTGGGCTGCGAGACATCTCGCAAATCTGGGCTTTGATTCTTCGGGTCGACTGCCCCGCTCTATAATAAGAGAAGAAGCAGGTTTGCTTTGTCTCAAAGCTTGTTTTCTGAACCGCAAGATGGGAAGGCCCTTAGCTTTGCGAATGCCCGGACGAAGCGACTTGGCTGCAGTTATGTGACAGTTCTCTGTTGAAGAATACTTGCTTGGGACGTCCTTTTCCGAACTATGGCTTGGTGACGTGCGGGGTTTAAGCGTCTTAAGGGTTCGTGTGAACGAGAGCTTGGATTCACGATAGATTCAATGCCGAGCCAACGGAAGTGGGTTGAAGAGGGGGCATCTAGCATCCAGATTAGTTGCGGGTCCGGGTTTGGAGTCTATCCGAAACCCATAAAACTGAACTTAAACCTAGTGCCTGTCGTCCCTGTTGGACAAGTAGCGTGGATTGTGTGGATCCAGGGAGCGCGGTCAAGGGGATGGATCTTGATAGTATGTCAAACACAACACATGGTCTTAACCCGATGCCACGACCTCACGCAGACCAAGAGCATGCTGGCCCCGATTCAGTGGAAATTCACAGGATACTCCTGTCGATTACATCCCCAAGCTTTTCCACCCTATCTTGCTGAGCTGAGCACGCAGCTCAATGCAACAAGCGGATGCCCGAAGTCACGAGCCAGCAAACCTCCATCAACGATCAGGATCGGAGAACTCGGGCGATTACAAATTTTCTCGTCAAACGGCACTTGCCTGACCTGCAAGGCTTCTCGGATGTAAAGGTTTGCTCGAGGATGCTAAGGAGCTAAAGATGCCGATGGAAGAAGGTGCTGCGGTTTTGGTGGAAGTTTTGGTGGTGCTGGTGGTGGTGGCGGCGGTGGTGTTGTTTGTTATATTATCATACGTTAACAGGGTCACTGGCCTGGTCTGCGCTTGGGCCGTTTTCTGCGTATTCATCGGCTTCGCTCTTGAAAGGGGGCTCTGGACTTTTTTTCTGCCAGTTTGGGGGGTGAAGGGCTTTTGTGGTTGTGCATGGATTGGATTGGAGGCATCAAGAACTCACCGGCCTTCAGCAGATGGCGCACCTCTGAACCCATCCAATCTAAAGCACCGGTCGCTAGCCTTTAGGCAATGCTGGAGAGTCTAATTCCTGAGCACAAGATCCTACAGCCTAAGACACCCTCGATGCCATGTGACAGTTGGTGGAGTGCCAACTTGACGGCCTATCTGAATGAAGCCCAAGGCCGTGCAGCAGCAGCCACACGACGAAGCCCCAGCAAACAACATCAACACTGATAGTCACTGGAATAGGAGCATGATGATGACAGCAGAAAGTTTGGCCGAGCTGTTGGTGACAATCTCCCATGAATCGAATCCTCGAAGTCATCAGACTTCCAAAGACGCCGTCTGAAGTTCAGGATTCCTCCGTGTGTACTAGCTCCGAGACCCCTGAGAGCGAGGTGTCCACCCAGTGGGGGCTCCGTGGGCTTATTCTTTCAAAAGGCTTTCATGCGGGTCGTGCACGGCTGTCTTTGACGTTTTTATACGGTTTTTGTGCGATTCTTGAGATTTTGTGCTGTTCTCAAAAGTCCTCTCCTTAATTGTTTAAAGTTGGTGAGGTCTTGCTTGGGGGTTCGGGTCCCTGGGTGTTTGCATGGGATCGGGGCTCGGATGAATCAGTGAACTCCCAATTGGAGCTTCCGGAAAGAATGCAAAGCTCCATGCTCCGCCCTGTACACATAAAGCTTGCCAACACTTTGACAGCCTTGCAAAAACCCAGCTTCAGCTTTGGTTGAAGAAGTTCAAAGCCAAATCCGCCCATTTTATGCTTCAGAGTTTGGGATCGGATCGCGGATCGTTGAGAATGTAGAAGTGCGGGCTTTGGGCTGGGCTGGCATGACCCAACCCCGACGCCGGGCAGCGCTTCTTTGTTCCTGATAGCTCGCAGAACTCTAGCACTGTGAGGTGCAAAGCAAGCCGGAACCGGAACCTCCGTGCACCCTTAAACGTTGAACCCTAAAGTATGGAGACTGGCATGCCGTCGCAGCGTGTATTTTCGAGGTTGAATGGCTTAGACACTATAATCGTCACTATAAGATACGACGTGATACGACCACCGCAACCATGCACTCTGAAGCCAAAACCTTAAGCTCTGAGCCCTGGGCCTCGAATCCGACCCTTTTCATCCTCAAGCCAGGGCCAAAGCCTCATCGGCCAAAGCCCTGCATCCCCCAAGCTGAGTATAACGGAGCTTTCCCAGCCGCTACGGACTGCAATCCCTCCAGAACTTGTTTTGCCAGGACAGCGCAGTCCAGAACATTTGCACCACCAGCCGAACAGATGGGAAGAAGTTCAGTGTCTTGCTCGGATCTGAACCCCTGTCCAGCGTGGTCGAAAGCCGGGGCAAGACGCCCTGACCCCAAACAGTCGATTCCGCCATCTGCAACTCCGGGACGCCTTCGGTTGCAACGGCTTGGGTTTTTTTTGGTCCGTAGCCTTCAAGCCTAGCAGCCCGCCCAGCGCCGAAACCTGAATCTTCCAGACTCCGACCCTCGAGCGTCTCCCGAGGCTGGCAGCGTACGGACAGTCAAAGCGACATTGTGGCCCCTCGGCTCCTCTCCAGGTTTCACGCAGAAAGGGGAACTTCTCGGGACTTCCTTGCCAAGAATGACATCGCTTGCACGTCGGGCACTGGCTGATCAGTCTCTGCAGAAAGATTTTTGGCATCCTAAGTTCTGGACCGATTGAGCATCTGCATGCGGTCGAGCAGCCGGATCTGAGCCGGCGCAGCTATCTGCGAACCTAAACACGATAGGTGTCTAAAGCGACGCCGAACATCAAGCTTGCGAACCGTACCTGAAATACACACGTATGTATGGAGGTTCATGTGCGGGTAGCTAAGTGCATAATTAGTTACGCACATAGAAGGGCGACTAGCAAGTAAGCAGGCGTACAGCCAAGCAATTGTTTGTAATTCTTCGTCTGTGTGTGTGTGTGTGTGTGCGTGTGCGCGCGCGTTCACATTCGTTTATAGATCTTTGTATTTGTTTTTTCTATGCTTTGATAAACCGAACTCGAATTCGCCACCGTGAATCTCAACCACTCTAAACCCCTGCAGCCAAACATGCCTCCCTGCCAGCCGCCAACATGCAAGCCAAAACTCCAAACTGAGGCCACCCTGGAGCCCCAAGGCCCAAGCCCGAACAGGAGTTCGGCCCTATGCCGATCCTAGGTCGAGATTCCGCTGAAGAACTTGCAGCACGACCACAGCTTCAAGGCAAAAGCTTTAGCAGCTCAAGTCGACGTGGCCTTTGATTCGCGTGCAGAAGACTTCACAAGTCCTCGCCTCGCCAAACCTGGAAGCCCGGCAGCCGATGTCCCCAATCCCCAACCCAAAGAAGCTCGCTCACAAAGCCCAGACATGGTGAGTACCCGCGATCCCCGGAGCCCATGTCGTCACCGGGCCTTCCTTCACCTCCCGTGTTGTTTGCCCTTGATCGGCACGATGAAGCTTACAGTCTCAGCTTTAACCGCCCTTACAGACTCCTCGTAGCAACCCTCAGCTGACAGCTTTTCAGACCTTCGAGGCCTCTGTCACCAGCGCGGTGCAGGCCTCCGGTCGCAACGACGACGAGCACAAGGGAAGGCCGCGAGTTGAGGGGGGCTTTCGGAGAGTCTTAGGAGTGTAGTTTGGGTTTTTCCGGGTTATCTTGAGTGTGGTTGAGCTTTCAGAAGTTTTTGATGTTGTTAGGGTGGGTGCGGGGTATCAGGGTGTTGTTAGGCGGGTTCGGGGTTTTGGGTGGTCTGGGCATTTAGGGTTGTCGGGCCCTTGCAAAGGTTATCGCAGTTGTCTTGGGTGCGGGATGTTTTGTGAGCTCGAAGGATAACGGCATACAAGCAGTGAGCTCGAGTTGAGGGAGGCTTGCAGCTTACAAGCCTCAAGTCCAAACCTGAAGCCTGACCCCAAATCCCAAGCCCAGTGTCCCTACACCCTGATGCTTTCTTGTGTCAGACATCAGGCCCCCCCTCCCCACTTCGTTGTCTTCACACACGTCGGTTGCGCTTCAGGCATAGGTGTCAGGTTTAGTTTAGTTAGGGGCTGCATGTTTGAGGGTCCGTTGCGTTATATCTATAAAAGGCTAACACGCCGCAAGCATGCTGCATACTCGCGAAACCCACCTGTTTGCTTGAAATCCTTGCTTATTACACCTCCAAACAAAAAAGATTACAAGCCTCCAAATCGCCAAACCCAAGAGAAACCCTAAAGTCACCAAGCCCTGCGAGCCCCATGGGCCCTAAACGGCCTCATCCTGCACAGTTAAGTTTTGCGTCTTGCACCAGGCAAGTCACTGCCTGGAGCGTCACCTGCGTGATAGCTTCCAGCGAGGCTCCGGCCAGCAACCCCCCAAACCCTTCAGGGTTTAGAGCCTTAAGCCCACCGTCCTAAAGCCTTGTAGCCTGCACCTTAGGGTCGGGATTTCTTCCAGGGATTTGGGAACAAGTGGTCACCAGAGTAGGACTAGTCGTAATGTTAATGCTATTGCCGTTGCTGCGACGGCGACTCACAATAATCTTCATAATCATCATCATTACAGCAAAAAATAACAGAAATAGCAATAATAGTAATAATTGTCATCGTCTTCCTCGTCATCATCATCATCATCATCATCATCATCATCATCATCATCATCATCATCACAATATTAGTAGCGCCAACTGTGAAGCGTGCCCCTATTTGAACTAAGGTTCCTCGCCCTCCAAAGCCTCAGACAGCCTCAGAGGCTGTGGAGATAAAGCAGAGCCCTAAAAAAGCTACCCTGCAAACTGAACCGTTAAGCCTAAGCTCCGTTACTAGTAGCTTGTCCTCATCCATGGAGTGCTGCGAATCCTAAAGTACATGCTGCAGCCAATCGGTGGATGATTGTTGAGGACGTCCCGGCAAACCCCAGCAAGTTGCGGTCCCGGAATGCAGAGTGGCTGATTTGGGCCTAGCACCGACCCCCCAGACCAAGCACCGCCAGGGGACCGCCTGGGTGAAAGTGCCAGCAGCGATCAGTGGTGCCAGGGACTCAGCCTTCAGATGGAATGCATAAGCGAGAAAGCTGGAACATGATCATTCCAACTCTTTGGGGTTGACTAGGATGTAAGTTGTCGGGGTTCAAGTAAACAGCTAAGCCATGTCAGTTACGTGCAAGCACAGCAAGCTCCTGTCAAGCAGTGCTGGATCTGGAACACCTGCTGCAAATGCCGAGAGTGGTTTGTGCAAGTTCAGAGCAGGGTCTCGCAGTTCCCTCAAACCCCACTGCCCACGCCCTCAGCCCTTGAACTTGATACGCTAGCATTCAAGGGTTAGGGTGAACCGTGATCCCGGAGCCCCAAACCCTGGCCCCAACCACCTCTTCGCTTCCAGGACTTTACCACCGTGGTGACCAAAGATATTGTCATTATGATGCCGAAGGATGCAGATGACCTGTACAAGGAAGTGTGTCAGCTGGTTTGAGGTTCGGGGCCGTGCTCATCGTCCAGGGGTACAAGCGGGGGCCCTTCTTCTAAGCAACGTTCTCAAATTACAATGGATACTGTTTTTTGACACTCTGCCATTGTGCAGAACCCCAACCGTCGATCCCAGATACGGGGCCTCAACAATTGCCCAGCGTAATCAGGAGAGGTGTGTGAAGCCAAGTGCGAAAGATCTCGCCGGCTACACGGTCACCCGGCGCCACAAGTGTTCAGTGTCAAGCGGAGTTTTGTATCTTCGGGGCGATGGAAGCTAGTACATAGTGGCTATGATGACCATATCTATATTTGCGCCAACCCTAAACTCCAAGCCCCTCGAAGCAAAAGACCCCCAAACCCCAGTGGAAGCTTTGGGCTTTGGAGACCGAGACCTCCCCAAAGCCGAAGCCCGCAACCACTGCAGGGACAGGGACACCTGGAAGTCTGCAGCTTGGGAACCGTAAGCCGTAAATCCTAAACCCCTACATCCTCAACTCTGAACCCTAAACCCTGAACCCTAAACCCTGAACCCTAAACCCTCAAGCCTACACGCTCAAGATCCTCAACCCGGAAGCCTCCGGGAACCTGCCTTGCCTGGAGGTTTCAGAGCATTCGCTGAAGTTGGCGGACTTTGACGTGAAAGCCGCCTGCGCAGCCGACTTCGTGGGGACGGCCTCGCCCTTCGGCCCGAAGTTTGCGCGGTGTTGGGTCGAGCCTGGGATTTTCGGGGGTTTGAGGTTTTGGCGTTTAGGGTTATATGGGGCTTTTGGGGTTTGTTTGGGGGATTTCGGGTTTGGGTTTCAGGGTTTTCCGGGGGAGCACGCTTGGGTTTTTCTGATCTGGCCTAGGGTTCAGGAGTTCTATGTTTTGGAGTTGGCTTATCTCGGGCGCTGCGGCACAGGTGGCGTTTACAGGCTTTCGGAAGCTTTCTGAGGCCTTAAGCCAAGATTCAAGGTTCAGGGTTTGGGGCGGGTTTTTAGGGGTTCAGCTCTAAAAGCCTTCTGAGCCCTTAGCCCTGGTCTCGCATCCTGCTTGACCTCTACTACAGTCTCTAGGTAGGCAATTCACGATGTGTTACACAGCCTGCTACATGTCAGCACTTGACGTTGCAGGGATTGCCGCGAGAGCCGTGATTCATTTCACGCGTCCCCTAAATCGAATCTGCAGCATCGAAATCCCTAAAACCACTGTCTTATCATGCTGGCTCTTGTATCACCGCTCACCAAACCGTCAGGGTGAAAGTTTGCGCAGAAGATGCCACCGAGTGACTTGGCGGAAGCTTTCGCCTCGGTGGGACCCAGGATTTGACATGGTAAGACTCTGGCTCAACTTCGGGGATATTTGTAGCGGCTGTATTTTCAATGTGAGGGTGCCCGGTCCGGCGTAAGTTGGAAGTGCGGTCGGAAGGGATGGAGCAGTCTTGCTCGAGCGTTGAGGTCTAGGCGTGTTGGGGACGTTATTGAAATACTGCCGTGCACCGTGACCACGGCAGTGATGCACACCGCAGCAGGGTACCGCCACCTGCCATCGACAACGCGACCGGTTGACCCCGCCATCACCAGCGGCACAACTAGCACTGCATCAGCATCGGGGCAGATCAACACAGATCTTGAGTCGCGCCGAGCGCTTGTGCAGGTACTCGCTCTCTGGTTGCCGGCCACCAGCTTCTTGCCTTCCTGTGGCCATTTCGAGGGTTCTCAAGTTCAGGCTTCAGGGTCGAGAACATGAACACATCAGAATCTTGGGTGCCCGAGGTTTGCGACCTTAGGCTTCAATGGCAGCTCCACAAACTCCAGCGCACCCGCGTGCGTCTTTAGTAGTTCGATTGCTTGCAGCGCCGAAACGGAACCGCGCTCCTCTTTCCAATCTTGGCAGGTTACAGCCAGAGCCCTGAATTCATCTTTGTCGAAGTGACGATTTTGATTTTCTAGTGCTGCGTGTCGAGTTGTCGAAACACTGAGCACGAAGACATGGGCTGCCAACCATCAGCCCCTGCAGAATTGCTAGTTTCGTCAGTGTCATTGATACTACCACTATCACTAGCAGCACGAGCACGAGCACCATCACCCTCACCATGATGTTTGTCCTGCTCCTCTTCTTCATCTTCCCATTGTCATCGTCAGCACTGCTGGTGACGCACTTGCCTGATGAGACATGGGCCACAGCAGGCCCAAAGAGAGGTTCTTGGAGGCTTCGCTGGCCAGGGCTGTCTTGACCATCCGCCTCCTGGGCACCATCCGGACCCTTCCTTGGGTGCAGAAAGCCCTTTCCGAGGTCTGCAAGGCCATCAACGACGTCGCTTACTCTGTAGAGGTGAAGAGCCTGGAAAGGCGGGATCTGAGGTTCGGGTTGCCGATGCTTGAGGCGATGCTCACCGGTGATTGGGCACGGATGCAAGGCATTGAGAGAGACCACGCTGGTTTGCATGCATATGGGGCAGGGGAGGGTTGTTTTGAAGGTCCGCGATCATCCAAAACACACATAACACACTTCTGTGTTTTTGGAGATCTTAATCAACAGATGAACCTGCCTTGTGGCTGTTCTGCGGGAGCTATCTGAACAAGGACCCAATGTCATGTGTGGTGACGAAACCCACAGCAACGAGGGCCGCCAATACACTCGCGCCATTCGAAGCCAAACCTTAGACTCAATGTCTGGTATGGCAGGCATTCCTTTGACGTTGGCGTCAGCTGTGCCGACGGCTACACCGGAGAGGCCGCCTCTCTCAGCGATTTGGAGCTTGCATCCCGGAGCTAGTCTGTCGCAGAGTCCCAACCTGTTACATGCTAGTTAGCGAAACCTGCAACAAAGCGGCAGCAGCGACAGCGACTGCACCGACGGCTCGAGATTCTCCTCCATTCCTCAAACTCTAAACCCTCGTGGCTGTGCCATAGTCAGGGATTTTCCGGGGTTGTCGGTCAGGCGAAGGTGAAGATCTGCGAAGAAGATGGCGAGGGCTTCACTCTCGAAGGCTGTGTGCGTCTTCCGCCAGCACTGCAGTGTTCTGTAGTCAGCTGCCTTTTGCCGAGATTGTTGTTTACTGGCAGTGTTTGGGGTCAGGACAGAGCGGAAGGCTTAGGGCCAAAGGTTTAAGCTTTGGGCTTGCACTGGTCGAGCCGCCCTACACCCTGAAAGCTGAACCCGTCGCGCTCTTCTTGCAGGATCGAGGTTCAGGATTGAGGATACCGGAATGTTCACAGCTTTCAGATTCACAGGTGGGTTGTTCCTGCAGGCTTTAGGATTCTTGGATTTAAGCCGACAGGTTTCAGGTATTGCCGTGAATCTGGAGCGTCTTGGTGAACTTGCGGAATTGCCATGTAGTCCGACTTGCAGCATACTTTCTTTCGACTCCGCTTCCTTATTCGGTACTCTCACAAGGCGCGGGTAAGCGATGAAGGATTCAAGGCCCTTGGGGAAATTTTAGGAGTCTAGGGTTGAGTCTTGAAGTCTTGATTCATTCGACCCTTGAGCTCTAAAGAAGCCTGGGCAGCTGATCTGAGGTACAACCACAACGACTTCAACGACGACAACCACCACCACGAGCACAACCACAACTACGATCACCACTACGACAACGACAACAGTCACGACGACTACCACCACAATCACGACAACCTCAACTGTGACATCAACTACCACGACCACCGTGACGACCACTAGCACCACAACTACCACCTTCACAACAACTACCACCACCACGAGCACCAGCACCACAACCGTTACCACTACGACAACTTCCACGACAACCTCCACCACAACCTCGACCCACACAACTACGAGCACGACAACCACTACCAGTACTACGACCGAGACAACCACCACCACCCTGACAACCACATCTACTACGACTACAACGATTACCTCCACCACTACGACGACCACCACGACCACAACCACTACATCCACAACTACCACAACCTCAACTACAACAAGTACGACCACGACGACAACCACCACAACGACCTCAACGTCCACAAGCACTACAACGATCACGACGACGAGCACATCAACAAGCACCACAACGACGACTTCCACAAGCACGACAACGATCACAACAACTTCCACGACGACAACGACCACTACTACGAGCACCACCACCACCACCACGTCGACCAGCACTACCACAGTGACCACAACTACAACTACAAGCACCACCACAACGACCTCTACCACAACCACCATCACCACTACTTCAACGACCACCATCACAAGTACCACAACCACAACTACCAGCACAACCACCATCACGTCTACCACTACCACATCCACTTCGACTACCACCACCACGAGCACAACAACGACCACTCTCACAACAACTACAACCACCACCACCTCCACGTCAACCACGACCACTACCACCTCTACAAGCACTACAACCACGACAAGCACGACAACCTTGACCACGACTTCGACAACGACTATCACCACTACCACTACAACCTCTACAACCACAACCACGACTAGCACGGTGACCTCTACAACAACAACCACAACGTCCACGACCACCAGCACGACGACTACATCCACCACAACGACTACCACAACCACAACCACCACAACGTCTACTAGCACCAGCACAACGACAACGACGACGACCAGCACCACTACATCTACCTCTACCACCACATCCACGACAACCAGCACCACCACAACAACTACTACATCAACGACCACAACGACGACAACCACCACTACCACATCTACAACAACCAGCACGACCACTACGACCAGCACTACAACTACCACAACCACCACTACTTCAACATCCACCAGCACAACAACCACGACCTCCACGACGACCTCCACGACCACGACCACCTCCACAACGACGTCGACAACCACGACAACTTCCACAACTACATCCACGACAACCACTACGTCGACAACGACATCCACGATCACGACGACAAGCACCCAGACGACCACATCGACGACTTCCACAAGCACTACGACTACGACCAGTACCTTCACGACCACCACCACGGTGTCTGGACGGCAAGGCATTTGCGGATTCGCGTGCTTGTGTTCAGGGTTATGCCCTGGATTTCCGAGCCAATGTTCTTGACACCCTCACAAGAACTACATTAAATTAGATAGAATCTGATTGAAGCAGTAGCAGCAGCGGATCACCTGGCCTGCGTATCAGCTTTTTTTCAATGGCCGAAGCAGGGTGAAGATGCGTCTCTTACACAAAATCTGCGGCATGCACTTCGATTCAAAAGCCGTAAGACCTTCGAGCAAGGTCACATCTGCCGACTGCGTGCCTCCAAAAGACGTGCAAGGTGGGACGGCCGAATCTCAAAATTCAGACATCACGAGAGTGCCGGCACCGCGACTCTAAGACCCTAAACCCTGAAGCCTGCTCCAGGCTCCCATTCCCATGCCTCCACCAAACTGGTATTCCGGATTCCTTGTCAGGCGAAGGAAAAGAGGTGATAACAAAAGAAGAAGCCTGAGAGCAGAGAGATCTCCTGCAGGTTATGACCTGAAAGTCAAGTCGATTCACATTGACGACTTCGACGCAGCTTGCTCCAGAGAGACACGGAGGGCTTCAAAGGGGTATTGTCTGCTGCTTGTCACGAGATGCATGTGTAGGAGGCCTTAGGATATCTCAAGCTGACAGGCTACCCTCCTTAAACCTGTTCCATCGGCCTTACACAACTTTTACCTAAAGCCTACCCTAAGCTGTACCCTTATCAACCCCACTAGAACCATCGAGCCCCAAGGTGTCTGCCAGCTGCTGGGAGGGTTACGACGGCCAGGCAGAAAAGTAAGGTCATAGTACAGTATCGCGTAGCACAGTGTCGAGTAGTATAAGTCTAGTATATCGTATCGTATCAAGAGATAGTGTATGACCACATGATAATGTAGTATTCTATGTTGTGTTACGCTAGATTCAACTATGTATTATTATTTGCCGCATATCATATTTTGCACGTTGTGGTATGTCATGTTTTGGCATGTCATGTTACATCATGTTTTGCTGTATGCTATTGTATAATATTGCTTCTTAATATACTAGATTTCCACTGCATTTTGTTATGTTTCAGTACTTTCCGTAGTATATCATATCATATTCTGTCGTGCAAAATAGTAAAGACTACGTAGTATAGTATGTATCGTCAAGTACAGTATAGTGGAGTAGAGTGTATAGTATAGTATAACATAGCATTGTTTTGTATTGTATGTGTTGCAGTCGTGTAATATGTAATAGTATATGAGAGTCTTGTATTGTACTGTACTGCATTATCTTACATCAACTATCTTTGCTATATCCGACTAGATTATGATGTACTGTAACAAACTACATACCTTATCTTCTCCTATCTTATCCGATCTTATCTTATCTTATTTTGCATTACATTTCATTAAATTGCATTGTTTCGTTGTGCAATATCACGATATATGATTCTACAGTACATCATGCATCTTTGTCATGTGATATTTTTTATCTTAGCATGGTCTGGTTTTTATATTGCCTGAATATCAAACTATAATGTGGAACATCGGATCGTGGGGCTTTTGCAATGCAGCGGAAGCACTGCGGCATGCCTTTGCTGCAGAAAGATGGGTTTTGTTGTAGCGTGGAGGAAGTTCCCGGTACCAAAAGGGAAAGCAAAATAGGAAGATAGACTTCTGTAAGCGTCTTTTGGTGCGAGGCGGTCGCGATGTCTTGCGAGCATCCCGGCCAGAGCTATACACTGACTGGCTGCAAATGGAGCATCTTGGACTCAGATTTGTTTATCTTCATCGCTTTGCACACATTTCTCACGACGAGATGTACGATGGATACTTTACATCATCTGTCTATGGCAGAATTGCTTCTCAATATGCTCATTGCTATTGTGGTCATCAGTTCTGATCGTGATCAGTAGTACTGTTCATCTTGTCACCGGCATTTGGAATTCCATGGTTTTTGCTGTTGCAACTTGTCTTATGCTCACTGGTTTCAGAAGTGATCGTTGCATCGGCTTCGAGCAGTTTTGCTTCTGTACACAGGTTATGTGCCCACTTTACACACATGCCGTGCACCATGGCCTGAAGTCTAATCCTCAAGGCACTACATACGTACTCAAGGACGAACACAGCTAACTGCCGCCCTCGCACTTCAGCGTTTGCCCCCTCCGGAAACCTTGAACCTAAGTCCTATAACCCCAGAAACCGCAAATTCCGGGTGCCAGGGGTCCTAGAGGCCGACATCCTGAAGTCGCAGCATTTAAGGCTACAGCTGTATCTATATGTATATCTATGTCTATCCCTATCCCTACCTGTACCTGTATCTCTGTCTGTATCTGCAAAGATATGTATGTGTTGCATTGTGTGTAGAAAAATATACATGTATATGTATATACATATGTGAACATACGTAGACATATGTATGCATGTATGTATATGTATGTATGTATGTATGTATGTATGTATGTATGTATGTATGTATGCATGAATACCGTTGTAAGAACCTTATCAACAATCCTCTGAACAAGAGCCCTTCCATCGGCAACCCCATGATGCAGGTCGGCACTGCATCGCTCCCAACGAGACCAAGGGCTACAAGGTGAATGAGCGCGCCTCGATGGACAGGGGGTTTTGCAGAGTTTGGGGTGAAAAAATCTACCGGTCGTATGTACTGGAAGTATGATTCTTTTACTGTCCCCATATAAGTATGTCCAGAGTTTTTGGTATGTGATATTATATGCTGTCTTATTTTGAAGGGATGGAAGGATTGCTCAATATTGGGGACGCTTTGTTTTGGCGTCCTTAGAGTAAGGATGCTACTAATTGGGGTCTACACCAGGGCCACTGATTTTGAGAATCTCCCTTATTGTTGTATTTGCTTTCGGAAAGTCTTCTGTGCTAGGGTCTAGGGTGCCGGTTGCGTTCAGGGGCCTATAGGGTAGTGGCAGATATGTCGTGCTGAGGAGCAAGAAGATTGCGGAACACATACTAGGAATGGTGGTCACAAGCATTTCAATTATATGGACACTTGAGAGCAACATCAGCAGTTCGATGGTAGCATTCCCAACAGACAGTTCAAAAGCCAAAGCGCCAAGAGCCCATCCCCCTACTCACAACCCCCAGTCTCTGAGACCAAAACCCCTGACCCAGAACCCTAAACCCAAGAGTCTAAGCCTCTACGATATAAGCCCCTTAATTGGGGTTATAAGTATAGTTACCTTAATTATAACCCTACTTACTAAGTCCCATGATCCTTTAAGTATGCACTCTCATAACACCCAGCATAGGGGCCTGAATAATTACGAGCAAAATGACTCGGTCTCCGCGAGTAGCGAGGCTCTTTGGACGTCGACAGCTTCGACGTACAAGCAGAGTGTTCCCTTGATCCGAGCATGACCGCAAAGGTTACGAAGTGCGCTCCTTGACCGAAAGTGCTACTAAAAAGTTTTTCTAAAAGCCAAGAAGGCTTACCATAAGGGCAAGTTTAAGGAGTTTAAGGGTCACTATGAGGGATTGCGGGATTTAGGTTTAGGGTTTACGGTCAATCAGAGCCCTCGGCGCCGATCTCTGGAAACCCCCAAAGAGAGGCTCGCTGCCTCGCGGTCATCCCCAGTCCCAAGCCGCAATAAATCCATGAATCCCCAAAGCCCTGAATCCTACTGAATCCTTCAATCCCGAAACCCTAAACCCTAAAGCCCTAAATCCTGTTAAATCCCTAAATCCTACTAAATCCCGAAATCCCTGAGCCCAAAACTCCAAAGTCGCAGAGCCCTTGGGCCCAGAACGAAACCTTCGCGAAGTACCAGCTCTCGGGCTGCCGCACCAGCGCCATCTGCACCAGCCCGGAGACTACCGCGCCTTGGGCTCTGAGACGTTTTGGGACTCAATATGGGGGCCCAAATAATTACCTATACTATTTTTTTTTTTGTGGGGGGGGGGGGGNNGGGCCCCGAAACCCTATTCTAATTGTCAAGGCCCCTGTATTACCGTGGTTTTCGTTGATGCTTGTTGTTATGAGACTTCATCACGGGGTTTCGGAGGTTTGGGGCGGCGGCCGGGGGGACTGGATGATAGAGGTTTCAGAGGTGTCCGGGGTGCTTGTCCTCTCACGTTTATCAAGCAGTGGGAGCTTGAACTCCGAAACCTCTTGAATTATGCTCGGTTTAGGGGTTGGAGATCGGAGGATTTCTTAGGATGTAGGTTCTAAACAAGAATAAGCGGAACTTGGGGTTGAGACCTCTGTAATGTAGATCCATGCTCAGGGCGTAGGAAGACATATGTAGGAAACCACATCAGGCAGAGTTTGGCATCGCTTGGGACTTTCAGCCTCCCCTGGTAACCCCCGACACCTTTAGAAGCTGAGGGAAGCATCTGGAGCCTTGACCCTAAACCCTAAGCCCGAAACTGCAACCCTGAAGCCTGAAAAGCAGTGCCCCAGAGACCACCGAGGCTATCAGATTACAAAGCCCTCCAAATCCCAAAAACCCCTGTGCCCTATACGCTACAAGGCCTACCAACCCTATAAGACCCATAGACCCTATAGACCCCGAAACCCGAAACCCTAAACCCCGAACCTTTGGCTCGAAGAGGAGGGCTACATCGTCGAGGAAAAGCAACTTCTCCGTCACGAGTTTGACGTCACGGCATCCTGTGCCGCTGGATACGCAGGCACGGTGTTGGGTTTAGGCTCTAGGGGTGTCGGGTTTAGGGTTGGGGGGGAGAAGAGTGGGAAGACCCGCAGAAGGGTTACTATGACTGTAAGGGCTTCTATGGTTTTGGCATGGGGTGTAGGAATTAGGGTGATAAACAAGAGTGCATGTTGTAATTCTGTGAGCTTGGCCTTTACCTTGGCTGTTGGTCGCATCTGGAGCAGACATGTGCGTGCTTTCCAAACTTCCCCAACCCTCCTTTGCCACGTGCCCCAAACCTCTGCTCCTGAGATCTTTCAAGCGATTTGAGGGGGGCTCAATTTTTGAGCAGTTCCACCAAGATCCAGAGTCTGAGATCTTGGCCTTCCCGAGACTTCTCAGCCCAAAACCTTAAGCCCGAAGCCATGGTCGAAGCCCTAAACCCCTAAAGCATCCTAAAGCATCCTAAAGCATCCTAAAGCCCTGAAACCCTGAACGCTGAACCCCAAACCCCAAACCGCAAAGAGCTTGCTGGCAGGAACCGGATCGGTGAAGCCTTGCGACCATCATCTCAAGCCCTACGTCCTCTCTGGCTGCAGCGCTCTCTGCCTGGCACCGAAGACAGTAAAGAGCTCCTGGGTACATGAAGAGACGCTTTGGGAGTTAGGGTTTATACCCAGGGTTTGGGATGGTTTAGGTTAGAGTCTTGTAGATCTTTGCGGGAGACATCATCGGGGCAGCTTGCGATCGCTGATCCTGCTTTGATCGCCTTCCGCCGACTGAGGCTACCTGATCGAGGAGAACAACCTGTTCATGGAGTCCTTCGATGTGACCGCCAAGTGCTTCGACGGCTTCGAGGGCACGGCGAAGGTGACGAAGTGCTCGAAGCCTGGTGGAACCTACTCCTTGAGCGGCTGCTCCTACGGAGGCGCCTGCACGGCTCCGGAAAGCACGGAGGGCTACTTAGTCACCGAGGTGGAGCTCCGCAAGACGGACTTGGATGTGACGGTGGAATGTGCCCCGAACTACATCGGCACGGCTGCGGTGACGCCTTGCTCTGACGACTTGGGCCCCTACGCCCTCACCGGCTGCGAGGCCGAGAAGAAGTGCTTCTCCCCTGCTTCGGACTCTTTGGAGGGCTACGATTTGGTGGAGAACTCCGTGGCCATGGAGAACTTCGATGTGACGGCTACATGCAAAAGCACTCATGTGGGAACTCCCCAGGTGACGGCCTGCACCAGGCCACTGACGCCCTACACCATCGCCGGCTGCGAGGAGAAGATCGTCTGCGTCACTCCTTCCGAAACCAAGGGCTACAAGATCACCGAAGTCTCAAAGCTGCAGCAGACCTTTGACGTTAAGGTGGAGTGCGACCTTGGCTACGAGGGCACGGCCTCCGTCACAGCCTGCTCAGCGACTGGGGAGGTCTACACTCTCGGTGGCTGCACCTACAGCACCGACGTTTGTGTCGCCCCCGAGTCTACAGAGGGATACCTGGTCACCGAGACCAACCTACGCCAGTCGGTGCCCTGGGCCGCAATCCTTTCTTTAAAACTGCAGATCAAGATCTGAATAACTTGTAAGATACACCTATATCTTGTTTCCCAGGTTCGAGCACTCTAGGACCTTCTCGTAATCTTGTGTCCTTATCCTCTAAACCCCCAGCACCCGTGAAGGAAGCCCCAATATACACCCTAAAGTCTTAAACCCTAAACCCTAAACCCTAAGCCCTAAACCCCAAACCCCTAAACCCTAAACCCCTTCTTTCTTCAGGTCTTCAAGGTTCAGGCGGCTTGTGCTGCGGGCTACATCGGCACCCCGGAGGTCACGCCGTGCTCGACTCCTGGCTACTTTGGGGGTCCTTATAATGGGGTACTATAGACTCCTGGCCACCTCATTTCTGGGGGTCCTTATAACAAGGATCCTACTATTTAGGCTATATTAGGGTTTAGGGTTTAGGGTTTAGGGTACTCTTTTTTAAGTTTTTTAGGGTCCCCTATTTTCGGAAATCCCCAGTGGCGGCGGGGGGTGGGGGGCTTGTGGCGTAGGGCTTGGGGTTTGGAGGCTGAGGCTCGGGGTTAGGGTTTGGGGGTGGAGACTTTGTGGAATTTGAGTTTTGTGTGCGGAGTTCGGGGTTTGGATTTTTTGGCCCCAATTTTCAGTTTGGTTTCATGTCCATGAGCAGACCGCGGGCTAGCAATGACCACTCCCCCAAAGAAGCCTCGCACCGACATTCTGTAAAGTGTGAGGGCCAGGCTATGCCATTCATGATAAGTTTTGGTACTGAACTAGACTCTATGGTTCTTGCTTTTTCCTCAACAATGCCTCAGGAGCGATTTGAAGCCTTATGCACTCAGCGGCTGCGCAGCTCGCCTTCAATGTGGGAGAACTCGCCCTGCCAGATCATGGAACTAAACACTTAAAGACGGCAAAGAACAAGTCACATGTCCAACACCCTACAAGGTTAAGGGTATTATGGGGTATGGCATCCTAGACCTTGGCCCAAAGGAGCCCTGGTACTCCATCCGGCTTTTGGATCCTTCTTCCCACACCCACTTACCGGGACACTGTTCAGGCTCCTGCGTGGTCTCCCTAAGCCCTTTCCAACCCTAAGCCCAGGGTTGGGCACTTTTGGCATTTTGGTATCTTGCTGCAAGAGGGGCCCCTAGACCACATAAGCACTAATCTCTAGACACGACTCCAGTTGAATGTCTGGAAGGCTGTTTTAGCAGCGATTATTCTCAGCGCTTTGTCAAGCAATCCTCAACCCTAAACATCTCGAAATTTTCCTGAACCCTAAATCTAGTTGCGTTCATGTCCTTCAGGGCTTTTCCCACTTGCCTGTCCGCTGGTTCCAGCTGTAATGTCCAGGAACACATCGGCGACGAGGCCTGTTCAGGGTTCAGGGTTTAGGGTTTGGGGCTCAGCAGGGGTTGCGCGATTGGGAACTTCGGTTTTGGATTTGGGAATTGAGGGTTGCGGGGGTCAGTAGCACAAAAGCCCCGAGCCCCAGAAATTCAACGCCTTTGAAAGCTGTTCCGCGGCTGAGGCCCGTAAGCCGTTGTCGATTCAATCAGTGGTGCAAATTCTGAGGCTTGAAACGCCTTGTTTTTGGTCTCTGGCTTTTCGAATTTTTAGTATACAGGAGGGATTAAGGGTTGTCCTCATGCTCCAAGCATCGGGGTCAAACTAATGTCCCAGTATCTTTTTTCTTTCCGTTACGTCAACCCTAAACAAATCCGAATTCAAAGCAACAAGACTGCTAAGCTGCTAAAGGTAAGTTACGAGCAGGTCACGCTCGAGGATGGCATCGAGTGTGAATATTTCTACGACCAATCCCAATGCCACTTGGGTCGTCTATGTCTATGGGGCCTCAAGATTTGGAACAGGGTATGGGGGATATATCATACAGGCTTCTACAGAAGTCTATGGGGGCGTTCAGGCTTTGTTCATGTACGTTTTGGGTTCTGGGGTTTAGAGCTTTTCAGGGCGTGTAGGTTGAGGGTTCGGGTTTTGATTTGTGCAGGGCTGTAGTCCCTCAACTCTCAGTCTTTTACATACACCGTCATGGAATCTGCGAGCCCTTAGCCTGACCGCGAGTTGGAAGCAGAGGCCTTGATGCCAGATCTTTCAAATCTACACCATGAATGGGTTCGTTGGTTTTGGGGTGGAGTGTTCGGTGTTCAGGGGTTTGGGGGCTCGGCTTCAAGCGTTTACTGTTCCAGCTTATGAGGTTCTGAACAGTGGACTTTTCAACGCACACTCGATCTCCTCTCAGTTGTCGCCTCTGGTTCTTCTAGGGATCCTGCTCTAGGTCGTGCCGAAGTGGCGCGGCTGCTTGAAAGCCCTTATCGAAAACAAAATTCTAATGATGTCAAGCACCGGGGCTTTTCAGCATCCTCGCAAACCCGCGGATCTTCCCATGGCAAAGCGGCAGAGCCGCAAACGCGAACTCGCAGGGAACAAGCATCTCCTAAACGCCATCCTAGCCCCTTTAGCCCCTTGACCCGGTCACCGGGGAAGATGAGGTCACATCGGCGATCTGGGTACCCTGCTGCCCGGCGGACTCGGGTTGTTTTGGTGGTTCTGAGTTGTGGCTTTGGGATTCCTAACCCCGACACTTCCCAAGACCTAAACCCTGAACCCAAACCGTTATGGCTTCGGGATGTTTCAGCCGGGGCTGCGTTCGTTGGAGCTTCGGGTTCGGGATTTCGGGGGGCCTTCTTGAAGCGGCGCGTTGGGGTTGCAACGAGGCTACGACACCCTTCGGAGGCCTGGGATGTAGGAGCCTTAGCAGCCTGTAATCCAATCACAGCTCTACGGTGTCTTTTACCTCCCGAGCCCGGACCAACTTTGGCCTAACTCATCCCGTTACTGCTGCACTGGCTACTCTGATTCACTGCAGCATGCTGGTCTAAGCAGGCGTGACCCGTTCTGCGGGCTTGGTGCATGCTTCGACAGCTAAACCCTAAACCCTGAATCCGGAACTTCCAGCCAAGGACACCCGCGAATAAAGTGGTTGTGCCAGAGATCTTCATGGACCGGGGAATCCTACAAAGTTGCTCCTGAAGTACATAGGAGTCTGAATACTTACCTTGGAGAGTGCAGGAGAACGGCAAGTTCCCCGAGGTCCGCCAAGGCAATCATTTCTGCATCAGGCGGGGGACACATGTCGCGGGGTGGGCCTCTACACTTCAACCCCAGCTAAACCTGACTACGTAACCTGGAGCCTGACACGCTGCATGCTTTAAGCTTTATCTTCTTAGACCGTCAAGCCAAAACTATGAACCCCGAAGCTCGCTACGACCTCCTGACATCCTCCACGAGGTGCAGTGGTCTCCTGGTCACCAAAAAGGAGGGCAACTACAAGTTTTTCCTGAGTTCGGACGACGGTACTTCGCTCAGCTTCGAGCGCTGGTCCTCTAGGGCCAGTTTAGGACTTAGGGCTTCAGGGTGAAGGGCTTAGGGTTTTTTGGGGTTTTGAAGCTTGAACTTGAAAACCGCAAGGGGTGCAGGGCGAGAAAGTGCGTGTTACGAAAGGTGGAAGATACCTCACCACACACTAGGTTGAGGATTTAGGGTTCAAGACTACTGCAAACCCTGACCACTTTCAAATTCCATGAAGCCTTTTACCCCAAGCTTCTGCAAGGCTCACTTATGTATTTGGACGGGCAGAAGCTCGTCGACAACAATGGCTGCCACGGGGAGCAGGAGAAGAGCAGCGGCGACACCTTCGTGGCGAAGGGAACTCACAGGGTGACGGTGGACATGTGCGAAATGGGTGGTGGCGAGGTCGGATTTTTCAAAGCTGACTGGAATTTCATGTTCCCAAGCTGCTCCTTATGGGCATTTTTACACGGGACCTTCACAAATCTGTATGGAGCCCCGGTAAGTACATCCAAAGCCCGCTTAAGTTTCGAAAGCCGCACCGTTGCTCACCTGTCAGGGCAGCCATAAACCTTCCAACTTGAACCCTCCAACCTTCAGATCCCAAACGTGAGCCCCTAAACTGGCCCTACACCCTAAAACCCTTAGACACCCTGCACTCTTCGTGGTGAAACCCTAAACCCTAAACCCTCCAGGTCCTGAAGCTGCGCTACAAAGGCCCGGACACCGGCAACTCGAAGGTCAAAGTCCCCAAGAGCGCTCTCAAGTACGGCAAGGAGCCGGACTTGGAGGCGAACTTTTGGGACCCCCTAAGAGCCCTCAACGAATCAAAAACAGGAGCGAGAGAGAGAGAGAGAGCGACATCTGCAACTAAGACAGAAGCAACCTAATGACTAAACGGAAAGCACGATTAAGCTGGATTTGCTTCAACTCAGCATGGTAACAGCAGGGAATGAGGAGAAACGACAAGAGCACAGATTCAACAGCAAGAACATCCACTTCACTTGTCTTTTGCCCCAGCTGGCGCTGAAGGCTCTCCCTGACGTCCGCCATGAATCCAAACCCTCAGCTTAACACCTTACACCCACGTCAGGCTGATCTCGCGGATGGCATGGAGTGCGACTACTTCTACGACCCTGGGATCTTAATACAAGGATAACGGCTTAAAGCATGCTTCAAGCCTCCACTCAGTTTTACCATCTAGGATGACAGATTTTGTTTTCTTCTCTCCAAACTTGACACCCACTAAACCACCAAACCCCAGTAAACCTGAAACACTCCAAAAACTCAAAAGCACAGATTGAAGTGCAAACGCCCAATGAGACTGCAAACACTTAGGCGCAACCCTGAAGCCCAAATTAGCCATCAAAACCTTCACGAAATCTTAAACATCGTAATTTAAGTCTCACAAGAACTAAACCACGCTCCAAAGTCTTATAACGAGACTGTGCGCGGTTTCGACAGTTGCACCGTAAAGAAAAAAGCGCATAGGCTCCAGAGCCCAGGATAAGGCGCAATGCCAAGTGCCGGACCTGGCTTCTCTGATGCTGGGCAGCAACTGAGGAAATCTAGACGATTGAGAATACTTAGTTGGAGGATCATGGGACTTAGTAAAGGGTTTAGGGTTTAGGGTTTAGGGCTTGGAGTATCATGGGACTTAGTAAAGGCTTTAGGGTTCAGGGTTTAGGGTTTAGGGTTTAGGGTTTAGGGCTTGGAGGATCATGGGACTTAGTAAGTAAGGTTATAAGTCCCCTAAGTGGGGTTATAAGTATAGTTACCCTAATTATAACCTTACTTACTAAGTCCCATGATCCTTTAAGTAGTCGTATCCAAGTCAAGAACTATACTCTGCTATACTGTACTATATTGTACTATACTGGAAAAACTCTGTACTATGTATTATATACTTGATACTATATACTGTACACTACACACTATACTATACGATAGTAAACTATACCATACTATGCTATACTATACTGTACTGTTGTACTATACTGTGCTATACTATACTCCACTCTACTGTACTACACTGTACTCTACTACCCGATTCTATCTAAGAGGGCCCCTGCATCAATTTTGGCTTTGAGGGGTGCTGCGGCTCAGGTCCCAGTGATTAGGGGTTTAGGGATCCTCAAATAGAGGTATGTGGGGGTCCGAAAACAAGGGGTACCTTCTTTTGGAGTCCTTATAATGAGGATCCTGCTATTTGGGCTACTATGTTAGGGTCCCCTATTTTCGGAAACCCCCAGATGGTCCCTTTTTTTGATATGTAGGGTCGAATAGACGGAAGATGAAGGGTTTAGGGTTAAGGTTTCATTGAGGTTCGGGCAGCTGTGGCTTTATCAGGGGTCAAAGCCTTTTGGCGTTTTGGCCTGGGGCCCAAAGTTGGGCAATGCAACCCAATATCTTGCCAGGACCCCAGCCCATCGCGTGATCGTGCCAGAGATCTACATGGACCGGGATTGCAAAAAGTGATCCGGGTTGAACTCATGGCCGCTTTGTGTGAGTGTTGTCGTACAAGCTGCATGTCTCGATCAGACCAATGGGAAGTTCCCGGACGTACGTCAGGGGGATCAGTTCTGCACGAGGCTAGCGGGGCATGCCAGAAGTGAGAATCTTTCGAAGTTCCTTAATGCTCTGACAGGTGCACTGGTCGTCTCGTGACAAAGAAGGAGGGCAACTACAAGTTCTTCCTCGCCTCAGACGATGGTGCCCCAGATGCAGAAAAGTGACAGCACGGTGATGTCGGCGTGAGCTGGGCTGCAGAAGCGTAGGTGGAGTGACCTTGTGCGCAACCGTAGCTGTAGCCTCAACTACCGGAGGTTCCCTCATGTACCTGAACGGGGAGAAAGTCGTGGACAACAACGGCTGCCACGGAGAAAGGGAGAGAGGCAGTGGCGACAAGTTCCTGAAGCCGGGTGCCCACGAGATCGTGGTGGACATGTGCGAGAGGGGCGGTGGCGAGGTCTTGAAGATGCGCTGGAAAGGGCCGGACAGTGGCAACTCCAAGAACAAGATCCCTGCTGCCGTGCTCAAGCACAAGCAGGCAGTTCTGCAGCAGTTCACGCCTACAGCTAATTTACAAGGCAATAACTTGGCAGTGTGATTTGATGCTATCGTTCAGCCGAAGTAACCGGTGACGGGACGCCACAGAGTAGGCCCTTTTTGCCATGTCTCTTGAATTGTCCCTGCTGGCCAGCCGAAGCTGAAGCTCGTAGACGGCTTGGAGTGCGACTACTTCTACGATCAGTCGCAGTGCCAAGTACCGGACCTAGGCGCCTTGATGCTCGGCATCAAAATGTGCGCATGGCGCATGCGAGTGGTAGATGCACCCTAGGCTACGTAGGCCCAGCGTCATCCTTCAAGTTGTTTCAATCGCTGAGATTGCATGGTAAGGACCCCAGCCCACCGTGTGATCGTGCAAGAGATCTACATGGACCGGGATTGCA